AGGTGGAAGATTTCCTCCAACGGTTTTTAAAAACGACGCCTCCAGGAGAGGAACAGCAAATAACTTTGTGTCACTTAATCCAACGTAAAGCACAAGGGAACACTAGGAATGATTGCTTCTCTCTCTTATGGTTCCTTAAAGACATCCAAACTCCATGACAGATTAAATGAGATGGGCAGGTCGGCCTGCAGCGATCCTGCCAGACCGACAGTAAGGGCAGAAAAGCGCTGCTGCAGCCATGGGCACAGTCAGCTTCAAGAACATCTCCCCCAGCTCTTTTTAAGAGTTTCAGGTGACTGAGCTTTTAGCAGAGCTCTGCAAATTTCCTCCCAATCTGGGGTCTCTGGCTGCAGCTCTGATAAAAAGACATGAGGCTGCACTTCTTGCTGCTCCCCCTTCTCAAAGGGTGCTATTAGGCTCAGTTTTCTACATAGAGAATTAAAAAAAAAGAAAAAAACCCAAACCTTAACAATTATGCTGCTTCCAGCACAGAGAATATTATTTCCTGGGTATTTAATACCACTTTGGAATGTCTTTCTTTAAATGTTTTCTTTTTGGTGAACTCTTAAGTATAAATCCCTTCCCAGCTACACCAACCAATTGGTGAAAATAAAGTCTCAATCGATTTTATTGTAAAACCACTCCGGCATGTTTCTGCTTTAACTAACCTTAATCTGCCATCCATTTTAGCCACTGATCCTGGGGCCAGGCTGTGAATGTATATCCCCGGAGAACTGTTTTCCAGCGTGAGACAACAGGCACCAATGCCAAGCCCAACCCCTGGCTCTGTGAAAAACAAAAAGTACAAAGAAAAGTAGCTGATTGTAATCACACAGGACACACAAGTGTTTGTGTTCCCACATCCCATCTGAGACGAAGACTCATGTATTGTTTCAGGGCTGGCCTTAGGTGCAGTCAGTCAGGAAGTCCAGACCAACAGTGGAAATCAGGATTGAAAATATCTGATCCTGACTGTTTTCTGAGATCCATCACTCCCAGCAAATTTTCTGTGTGCCGTGGGAACCGCCTGGAAATGTCACACAAGGTCTGATCTGGTCCAACACACAAAGGAGTGGGGGCAGCAATCCAATAAAGATGTTGTTTAAAATTACTGCACAAAACATGAGCACAGAAGATGCTGCCAACTGTACTGCTCTCTTTTGTTAAATATCTGCATGGCATCCCTTGGCAAAGAGGCACGAAGAAAGGTGAGGTGTTATCTCTGGTTCAATGATTACCTCTGTCCACTTTCACCTTCGCTTTCCTTCAGGTAACAGCATTCCTAAAGTAGGAAATGCTGGACGTCTTACCTTCTCCCTCCAAATTTTTAATCCAACCTTTAAAATCAGCATATTTTAAGCCTTTAAAATAGGCGTATTTGTCCCACCACGTACAGCATATGCTTTAAGTTTATCTTGTGCAATTATTGATAATGACAGCAACCCTCAGGCAGGAGTTCAAACAGCTCATCTGGGCAATTTTGAGCACTCTGCGTGGCTTTGCCTTCCCCAGAGCTGCCCTTTACAAGAAGGGCATGGCCATTTGGGCTGCTGAGAGGCTGATTCACATTTTGCCTGGTATCTCACAGCCTCCCCCTTAAGGACACTGACTGCTACCTGTAAGAGTCTCCTGATTCTGGAGTGTGGAAGGGGGAACTCTTCAGACGTTTTTGCATTAGAGGATGTTTTTCTCCCCCATCCTGTGGTTTAAGATCAGATGGACACAGATAGTTGCCCTGGATATTAGAGCCTCTAGCCTATTCCTAAAAACTCCCCTAAGCAGCAGGGATTCGTCCTCCAAGCCCATTTCAATGGACCCTCACCTTTATTGAGCGTCACATCCATGACGATCCTGTCCTTCGGGCCGGGTCCTTTGCGGCTGGAGGACGAACCATCCACCTCGTCGGGGCCAGGGACCGGCGTGCCACCGCTGGCGCTGGAGCTGGGGGAGCTGGAGCGGCTCAGCAAGGTGGGAGTCGCACAGGGTGTGAGGCTTGGGCTGCGCAGCCGTGTGCGCACCGTCAGGGTCACCACTCCTTTCTTGAGTTGCTGGAGAGACATCAGAGAACCCCAATAAGGCGACACGATACACCAACATTTGTCACTCAACCTGCATACAGTAATTTCTGGCAGCGGAAGAATATAAAGTCCAGGGTGCTAAATGGCACTGAACGAAGAGAAGCATGAATCTCTGCTGTAGTACATCTATGTTACCTTAAACCTCTGAATGGCCTCCTGATGGGTCAGCCCTTGTAGAGACTCTCCATTAACTTCTAGGATTTCATCCCCTGGTAATTAGATACAAAAAATGAAGTCAGCAATATACAGATTACAGAGATTCCTGTACATAAGGCGACCCCCTACTATAACGAAATTAACTCCTCAGTAAAGAGTCTTTTACTGTTCTCAGTTTATTTTCACTTGCCCTAATGATTTTAAAAGTTAATAGTTATGAATTAGCAGAGTAAAGACTGTTCTTCAGCAGAGACCCTTAGCTTGGCATTCTCATAATAACAAACAAGCTGAAAACACTACGGATTTTAACTAAAGTCTGAAAATAGATCCTCATAAGATGAAGTCCAAAGGGACTACAAAAATCCCTTTCTTTTGTGTGTATCAACAGGAGAAACAAGAATCTAAGTGAAACACTACAGCACATCACTCCAAAGCCTGTTCAGAGAAAACTGGCCTTGCTGCAGAAAGCAAACATGTCCTTTTACTAAATGCCTGCAGACAGAGAAGCGAATAGCCTACACACTGCAATAGCAAATGCCCTTCTCACTCCAAAGAACATGTTCCGTCACATTTCTACCTGCTTCCAGGCTCTGGGTCTTACTACTTAACACCCAGCTAGTTGATCTACCTTCATTTTATTAAAAGGAGGGCAAAGTGAGCAGGATCCAGATCCACTTTCTGGAATTTTACTTGAATCTGTGCAAAATTAGATGGGGTGATGCCATCAGCCAAGTCTACCCCTCCTCTCCTTTCCTTGCCCCAGTTAAAAAAAAAAAAAAAAAAAAAAAAAGAGTATGAAAGCATTTTATGGATGCTTATAGCCTGCAAAGGCTTGCTGGGTTTATGGGACAGCTGCTACTGTTTGGCTTCCCATGGCAAGTGCACAACCTATGCTGCAGGGATGCGAGCTTCCCTCTGGCAGTAAGTGTGAGAGTTGGCACCAAAAGCATCCTCAAATACAACAAGTGTGATGAGCTATAACTAGGGGAATGATGATGTGAGAAGGAGAGAAGTAACACAGGAGCAGCTTGAGAGAAGTAACACAGGAGCAGCTTTCTGTGGATGAGAAGTAAGCTAACCCCTGCAGAAGAGATGTAAAACATCGCTTTAAACTCATGGTCACTTTGTACTTTCAACAGTGTGTAAGAGTCTGTCTGTCTGGCATGGGAGCACTTGGACCAGGGTGCAAACACAAACAGAACAGTCTATACATCCAGCTCAGAGATCAAGACTGGAAAAGCAGTAATAAAATCAGGATGTATCTACTTCTCTAACCAGCTGGGTGATCTTACTGCCAATCCCATCCTTCCTCATTTCTTTTTCTGGTTATGACTCTTACTTGTTGATTCATGCCAAAAATCATACCAAGAGGCTCAGAGAGCACAAGGGCCCAAAACAGCCTCTCCCAAGCATATCCCTCTGTATAACCCCTTCTTGGACCAGCACCTTTAAGCCAGATGTTGGTTGGACAGATACGTTTCACTGCTATCAATGACCCTTTCCAACTGAAGAATTGCAGCTTGTGGCTTGGGCAAATAAAGTTCACTGAAGAGGAAGGGAAAAAAAAACATCATGATGCTGTAGTTTCCCCTTCTCAATATGCAATATAATCAAGTTAACTGCTATGAATGATCTTCCCCAGGATGGACAAACAGGGTGTGTTACATCCTCCACAGCCTCTTGCTGATGGCCAGGTGCCTAAATAAAGCTGTACTTGAATTTTTCTGCTGGACTGAAATAATATCCCACTGTGGTCCTTTACATGCAGTTGGATTCTCTCTACTGTACCTTCTTTAAGCCTTCCATCAGCAGCTGCTGCTCCATTTGGGAATATAGTCTTCACAAAAATCCCCATGCGTCCGCGAGCAGAATCCTGCCCTCCCACAATGCTGAATCCAAGACCCTACAGGAAAGGGAGGAGAAGACACACAGCTGGCACCTTACTCTATCATCACCTGTGTGAGAAAGACTGCCGATAACATACAAGACAAAGGAAAGATGAAAACCTAACAGCTGCTGCTGAATCGCACTGCCATCTTACCTCTGCTCGCATTTCCTGATTTACTTTCACTTAATATCAACACACTTATCAACCCAAAAAGTAGCAGCAGGCACCTTAAGCTAAAAGGCAAAAATGCTATTTCAAGATTTTTAGTGTTTTTTAAACACTGGGTCAATGGCTTTATGTTATCCTATTCCCATTTTAAAAACTGTAACACATTGCTTTTAAATTGACAAGCAGTAGATTCCCACCCCTGAGATCTATATCCAGGATTAACTGTAGTTTTCTCTGCTGTCACAGATCCTGCATTTCCTCAGGAAAAAGAAAAGCTTAAGAACATGACATAAGGTCAGTGCTGTAATGTCAGGAATGTAGCTGGAAGGGGACTGGCGTGGGGGGACTGCCATGCACATGTACATTTTTAATTATTCTGGAGACATGTACCACGTTGTATTTAAATAAATCTAGATCAATACATTCCCCAGGGCTCCATCTGTTAGCTCTTGCCCCTGCGCTGCCCTGGCTTGCTGTGGGACTGTCTTGCAAAGCTGATCAGGGAACGAATGAGCACAGCAGAACAAACCTCTCCCCCTTCTGCTGAGTTATTTCCCAGCCAAATCACTTCCTTGATCCATTCCCCCCCCCATTTCTCCTCTTGTCACCGCTGTACATGTATTTTACAGAATAAAGAGAAGAGTCAATGAACCAGGTGGACAAAGGAAGTGGAAAGCTGTTGTGCTTCAGTGATCTGAAGCCACGGTTATTATTAGCGCCTCAGGCAGTGCTCTCCAGCTGAGGGATGCTGCCAGGGCAGGCACTAACACTGTGTTTACAACCCAATACAAGAACCAGCTCTTTTGTTTTACTCCGTGAATATAAAGTAGACTACCACAGTTACGAGCTTCTAGTAGTTTGATAAGACATTATTGATTTCTAGAAAGGAAGCATGCTAGTTCCCTCGTGCAACACAAAATAATTCAACTAACTGTTTACTGTGCAATTATCAACTGCAAAGCAACCTACAGAAAGCAGGAAGCTCCTGGCATTCCCCTGCATGGACACAGCAGTTCTCCCCACGGCTCCGTGGGGTGGGGTGGGAGAAATACAGCTGCAAAGCACAGTGGTTCCCACGTTAGCCCACCTTCCCGGAGATGCGCTGCCACTCCACAGCAGAAAACCACCCCTTGCAGATCTACCTACAAATGAAAAACCAAGGGCAAACACTTGGGTCCCAGCCACCAACATGGCGACTCCGTGGAAATACTTTTCAAGTCCCAGTTCTGTGTAGAGATAATAAAGCAAATGCTACTGTACAAACTGTACGCAGTGCAACCCCTAACAGAGATGATCACTCAAAAAGTGGGTGAAAGGCACCAAAACCAGCAGCTGTTGAGGTGCTTCATGATCACTAGAGTATGCATGCTCCCAACTGCTTTGTAACGCCTTGGAGCTAATTGCAGAAAGGTAGGAGAGGGTGGCTTATTCCACAGGAAGAAATAATCTAATTCTTATGAGAAAAATGAGGTAAAAAAATAAGTACGTGAAAAATGAAGAAATATTCACTTGGAAATGTCATGAAAGACCTGAAGCTCCCAAAACAAGGAGAGTTACAGCAACCGTGAGTCAATCTACCCAGAGAAGTCACTATTTCTAACTCTGCTAAACTTAAAGCACAAGGAGTTTGTTTTGTATTTGAGCTTGAAAGTCAAAACAAGTCTTTTTAGTCCAAAACATATCCATCTGATGAATTTAAAGAGTATTTCAGAAAAAAGACATGCATATTTTTAGCATATTTAAATGACAGCTCCAATACTAGTGTGGATTGGATTAGGGAAAACAATACACACCTAGGTTAATGCTTGTCTATTTTCCCTTAGCATTCAGCCAGCTGGTATCTAGCAAATGTGCAAACACATTATTGGGAGGAGAAAAGAGGACTCGTTGACCCAGAGAATTCAGTGCTCTCAGATAAGCAATCAACCAGGAACCTGTCTTTGGGTTTAATGCTTAATTTGCAGTGATTCTTTTTTTAATGTATCCAGATTCCACAGGGATAAAATATGCTTGTCCATAAATATGCATACAAACAGGTACTATTCTGTAGCTGCACCAACTTCGCATAAACATACATATTTATAGATCCATTATTAATATTTTATATCTCAGTAATGACCAGATGCACCAAATCAGAATGAAAGCCACCCTGCATCAAGTGCATGGCACGAACACCGCTTCCTCCGTATTTTGCAGGTGTAACTTTGGCATTTACATTTGAAAATGGGATTTGTTTATCATTATTGTTATTATTATTAGCTACCTGAGAGCTGCTGGTAGTCCTGGGTGTTGGAGACAACTCTTAAACACCAGCTCTTGCTACATGTGAGAAACCAGCCACGTGCAGAAATCCTCACCTTGCCTTGCCCTTTCATCAGGACGATGTTGGAAATGATGGAGGGCTGGGTCAGTCTCCATGGAGATTCCACTTGTGCAGCACTGAAGGAACGGGTGGATTTCTTCACAATATGGTAGTCCTAACAAACATCAGCAAACAAGGTACGTCACTCTGATTGCTTGGCACAGGCACTGGGTTGTCATACTGGGAAAATTGCATGTGTTGGGGAAGAGGGAGGGGGGGATCTTACAGATATATTCAGAAAAATGTTCAAGGGGTGAAATCCTAGCTCATTACAGTCAAAGTGAATCTTGCCACAGTAATTTTCCCGCATTTCGCACAGTAAGAACATTTTGCAATGTACCAGTCACAATTTAAATTAAAAAGATTAAGGGTAGCCTCATGATATACTAAAATCCTTATCTGCTAAAAAAAAAAAGGAAGAAGGAAAAAAGCCTACATCATCAAGTCATTAAAATAAAGAGAAGCAGGATTTTTTTGTTTAAGTCCTCAGATCTCTAGAGCTGCAACTCATAAGATCAGCCTTAGGACCTCCTGGCCATAGCAAGAAGTACCCCCCTTCACCATCCTCAGAGTAAAGAAGTTCTTCATAGGTGGCCAACGCATCCCATTTTGGTGTCCAGCCCTGGTTTCAGTCCCCATGATGTACCTATGTGGTATTGTTTCACTACCCTCGCTTCTACGAGCTCCAGACAAACCTCAAAGGACCGAGCACAGCGAGGTGCTCAGAGCCACCCACCTGCCTGGCTCCTGCCGATTCCAGCTGCTGAGGCAGCGAGTGCTTTCTTCCACCCCGGGAATATTTCACTGCTATTTCGTAACTCGATTCACCGTTTTCCACTGTCAGCTCATCGTCTTCTCCCACGGACTCCAAGCGGGATCCGGCACCTAAGGAAAACCACAGAAATACATCTTGCAAACATCTCAGAGCTGCTTCATCCTCTCGCCAGCATGCAATAATCGCCTCCTGCAAATCCCAACTTAAACAGTGCCTTAAAACAAAGCTACGCGGTTCCCAACTGGGCTGTTAGAAGCTAGTTTTGATCATCCTCAACTGAAAACTTTTCCTGCTGTCACAGGTTTTCTACGATCTTTCAGTGATGCTGAACTCCTCAGCGCTGTCGTTCGTGGTAGTAAGGAAAAGCAGAAGATAATTGAGCTGGTAGCTCAGGGACAGAAAATTCAGCTGTTCTCACCCAATGGCACTTGCCAGTGCTCTCAAGCTTCATTTATTTAAAATTAAAAGACCTGACACTGTAGTAGTATTCATTTCTGGAGGTGTCATGTCACTTAGAAGGAAATTTTTCTGGAGTGGAAAAAGGAAAAATGTGCCAAATAAATGCTACTTTCTTTCCTTCTGGCAACGATCCTAGTTGTCTTAAGGAGGAGGAGAGTGCAGAGTTCACATTAGAAACAGAATTATTTGTCTTGAAGGACATCCTGTAATTAGGTGCAGAGTACACCGCTCCTTGCACCAGGGCTCCTCCAATTCTCATTTTCTCCAAGGTCCCCATAGGACCCACAGTCACAGCAGTTCCTGCACGTTCATCCTTGCCATTTCCCCCACCATGCAGGGAAGGGCCATTAACGCCTATTTTACAGATGAAAACCCAAGACACAGACAGGCCAAATTCACACAAGCTGGATTTCATGATGTGGTTTTAAGATTACTTGAAACCAAGGTTAAGTTGGAGCTGCCACAGAAAGGGGTAGCTCTGCTTTCCCTTCGCCCTCACTGCCCTGTCCTTACCCTGGGGACAGCACTCACAAGCCATGGGCTGAGGTAGACCTCCTGCAAATTTGCCCAGGAGAGCCCCAGACCTGTTTTCTGCCACCTCCTCCTCGCCCAGAGGCTGTGCAAGCATCGCTGCCAGCGCCAGGGAGGGATGGAGCACAGAGCTGGGGCAGCTGCTTGTTTTCACTCAGCATTAAAGCAATTCTGCTGCTGCATCCATAGGCAAAATTTGTACTCACTCACCAGAGTGCCATTTAAACCTGATCCCTTCTTTGAGGTGTGAAACTACCTCTGGTTTTAAAGCTCCCCTTCCCCAGGCACGCAGGGCACCGCTGCTGCACACAGCCAGGACAGCTATCTTGGCAGGACTGGCATCCTGGCACTTCATTCACTCCCAAACCCTCCTGGCACCTACAACTAACCCCTTCCCATCACTTCTCCCTCTCTTCTTCTAGGAGAACAGTTATATTTGTATTTTCTGCCCATCTCTGAACATAGTTTCCCTCCCTGTGCTGCAGCCCAGGCTTGGGACCAGCTGGGGGATGCTCCAGGCTCACCCACAGCCCAGGGGCATCACCACTCATGGGAACCAGGGCTGGATCACCCCAACACACAGCCACAGGAGCTACAGGCAGAGGAGCTCCCTGGAGCATGCTAAAAATATCTGAGTAGATGGAAATTAAGGTGAACATAGGAGGGCGGGAGACTTGGAGAGTATTAGGGATGAGAATGTTCATCGAGCTCTGCACGCAGGTTACTGTTAAGACCTGGGGCCAAAGCAATAGAAAATTTCAGGAGTATTCGCCATAATGGGTATTTTGGTAATGGCATGTTGAAACATGTCCCCCACCTCAGTATTAGAGCACACTGAAATATATAGGGAATGTAAATGTTAAAAAAAGAGTGAGAGAGAAGAGAAAGAACCAAAAAAAAAAAAAAAAAAAAAAAAAAAAAAGAAAGAAGCTTCCAAAATTTTGCTTCATCTTTCTGCCCATACAATAGTTCAACTCAAGAGGCTGAATACAAACATCCTGCAGCTGTGATTTTCCTTCCAAATTAAACTAGTATGATCTCCAAAGGAAAGAAAACCTATCTCACTTTTAGAGAGCTAAAATAAATACACAACATAAAAATATTACTATTGCTATCTTTTATCAACCCAGCTTTACCTTGGGATCGACTTCTGTATTTCAGTATGCCACTTCCAAGAGTTGGATTCTGGTTGTTTCCTTTGCACACTTCTGCACAAGCTGGATCTTGAGACTTCTCAGTTTCCATCACCTAAAAAAATTTTTAAAAACCCCAAAAAACTTATTTACTTGTAAACCAGAGAAGCTGATAGGATTCCTCCCATTTTTACTGAGGGACAAAAATTCCACTGCACATCATCTTTTTTTTTCCAAAGCATATCATTGTATTAAGCCAGCACACATTTCTGTAAGTAATTTTCAGCAATGCCTTCGGACATTACTGCAAATCTTACCGATGGGTACAGGTACAGCTCAGTATGGTACAGTTCAGTATGTACCGATGGGTACAGGTACACCTCAGTATGCAGGGATCCTCTGCAGGTTACCACACTAACGCCCCCAGAGTGCCTCCAGCATCCAGAGCACCTCATTCAGGTCCTTCCACATGCATTTTAATAAAATTTTAATGTAGCTTTTATTGCAGTTTGTTCAGCTCAGGGAGCTTCCAGAGACATCACATCTTTATAGAGAAAACCACTTTTAAAAAATGTTATTTTATTGTTAGTGGCCGAAGCTGAATGCCATTGCATAGTGGATGAAAAGTTAATTTAACAGAAAGTTATGAAGATTACACAGCTAAGCACTTAAAAGCCTGGAAATGCTCAATGTAAATTTACACATGGACTCACAACCCCGCCACCCTGAGTAAATGAACCAAGACAGGAGGAGTCTGTTTACCCGCCGTGTTTGCCTAGGTGCAGGTGACAATACAAGGTGACAATGTACAGCTGCACGGCCACACGCACCCACACAGTCAGGGATGAGCAGAGCCGTCCATCTGCAAAGCCCGCAAAGACTCTCCCCAACCCATGTGTTGTGGAAGATCCTGGTGACTCCCTTCTCCACTTGCTGCTTCCTTTACCAAGCTACAGCAGTCAAATTTTCCTAGATGTGCCACCACACAGCGATCCTCGACACGCTCCCCATGCACACACTAAGTCCTTTTGCATTTTCACCCCCCACCCATCACGCATCCTCTGCGCGATTATTCAGACAGCTCATAGCGAGGACGACAAAATTTCCGGTACAACCACTTACTGGTTGCATTACACTTTTAACGTACTATATCAACTGCTGGACGTCAGTTGAAAAAAAAAATCCCACCCAAATGACCAAACACTCTTACTGTTAAATTCATTTCTACTTCCATTATTCAAGCTTAAAAATAGCAGGATTTTCCTGAGAACCTGCCTCTCACCCCCCAGTCCCTCTTATCCCCAAACCAAGAAAGCCAAAGTTTATCTTTTGCAGAGAGTCTAGACTTTGTGATTTCAGTTCAAAGGGTAAAAACTTCAGGAAAAGATAAAACTGGAAGATAACAGGAAGCTGGAATGGAAACTGCTTTTTCTCCCTCCCTCTTCAACATGAACAGCTACACACAGTTTGCACATCCTAGCTAGTTCTTGTTGATTTTTCAAGGCATTGCAGCAACTACTTCAGAGTCCATTTCTAGTATCAAATGCTTTGCAGGTCACAGTTCCATGTAATAGGATTAATCTAAAGAAGAAAATAACTACATCAGTTTGAGAAAACCAGTGCTTACAATTTGGCCACCCTAGTGAGGGACTCGTTACAGAAAAGATGTGAGAAATCAGATCAAAAAACCCACCCAAGAAACCCAAACCATCAGTGATTAGGCCACACCCGAAGTATCACCAACGCTCCCTATGATCTCCTCGAGCACATACCCAGAAGACAGCAAAAGTGTTTAGAAGTGAGCCGGGACTTCGTGGATCACACAAAGTTAAGCTGGAATTTACCATAAAAGCAAAAATACCCTTTATAAGTAAGAACGCCTCCCTTGTAGAAAAGCCAAAACCATTTGCACAAACACACAAAAATCACGTAGCTGGTGGTTTTAAAGGTATGCAAAACAATCAGTACTCAGGAGCGGTGTTAACTTCGTGGTGGAGAAATATTTGAAGCATAGGGATGGAGAAAAACAAGAGGGGATGCCTAACTGAAGCAAGCACGGTGCTGCCTTGCACTCGCATGGCATTCAACTATCAGAACAGACAGGGATGGGTCCAGCCTCACTTTTCTGGAGCTGAGCACAAACCAGCTCGGGTCTGGAGCTGTAGAGCTGAGCTGTAGAGTTGTTTCATTTCTGTGGCATGCATAGACATGGGCAGTTTCACTTGATAAAATCACACAACTCCCAGTCCAAAGGTGGACTGCTTCCTCCAGCTCGGAGCATGGGGGTAAAAAATTGGGTTAGTCTGCAGCAGCCTACAGAGAGATGCTGAAATCATCACTGCCACAGCCAATCTCCACCCCGAGCCTGGGCTCAAGGGTGACCTGTTTGGTACATCTTGTATTTCTACTACATGGGGTTTGGTTTGGAGCTTTTTTGCTTTTATTTATTTTGACTGTGCAACAGAAGCAAGTACAGATGCATTCTGCACTTACAGACATTTCCATCTAGTGGGGTGAGAGGAAGAATGGGAGACAGTTGCCACTCGCATTAAAACTGTGCACCCTGTCCCTTCACCTCATCGCTGCACAATCCTGTAGGCTGCGAGCCCACAGAGGGCAAACCCCCAAACCCCACGTATGATCCGCAGAAGGGCATGTGTGCCTAAACACCAATGCTAGGGAAAGCCTCAAGGCGTTCTCAGCGGCCTCCTGAAATTACATTTTATCCAACTCAGCTTCAGAATACAGTAAGAAGTAAAAACATCTAAATTACCTATGTCTCTGTTTATTTCTTATTTTAGCAAAAATACTTTTCTGACACTGATTATAAACATACAGGGGAAGACACTCGAGCATTTGCAATGAAGTAGATATTCTTTAAGTTATTGAGCTTGTCTAATAAACCACTGAGAGTTTTATCCTACTCAGAAAACACTTAGAAATCCCATCCACAAAGCTTGTGAGAACTTCCCAAAGTTGTGCGTCTGTAATCTTTGGCTCTGTTGTAACTTAGACAAGAAGAAAAACCCAGCTCCACCTTATCCTTCTGGCCACACGTGAACGTATCGCTTTACTGTCTCGAGGCGGCTGCCCGCATTTAACCATGCCATTTTAATTTTCCTCACTTTCAAGGAAACGGAGCTTATTATTTCAGTTCTATATGCCTCTTATTAAACTAAACCAATAAATCCTGCCCAATGCTGTCCCAGTGTTAAGGACAAGGGGAGCTTTAATACACACAGTAGTTTGAAGAGAGGTCTAAATATAAAGCCCATTTTGCCAGTTCATTAAGTAGCTCTGGGATCAAGCGATGGTGACATCTCAATTGATTTCAAAGGAAGCGGCGCTATCATGGACACGCGGTCCTGGCACCGCACCAGAATGAACAACTGCCCCCAGAGCCCTCGCTCGGGCAAAGCTCCAGCGTGACCAGGCCCTTAATTAGGCGAGATGAGGAGCAGGATTACGAGAGTCTGCATTGTTTAACCGCAAACAGCTTGGCAATCGTCACCGATCTACAAAAACAAGGCGGCACACAGGGGATGATACAATTTAATAAGCAAACTACTTTACTGCTGCTGTTGCGGAGCTCCTAAGCTGCTGCCTTTCCCATCAGCGAGCCCATCTGACTCCCCACGGCACAGCCTGCTGGCTTTCTCTGCTGAGGAGCGCTAGCAGCCTATAGACAAGTTTAACCTTATAGTTAGGCACCCAAACAGCGAGAATTAGACTGAGCTGTCTGTGGCATGCCAGATTCAGCCCTACCTACGCTGGCAAAGCAAGTCCACCGGGAAGTCCACTGCCCTTCTTTAAAACAGCAACGTGAAAGAGGAACAGCTGTGCCCCTGCACACAGCAACACTGCACAAGCTCCACAGGATAATTCCTCACCTTCTTCAGTCCTGGCACAGCCAGGACAGTTTTTCCTTAAGCAGCACTACCCCAAACATATTTAATCATGAAACACTCCAACATCTCTGTCTGTAGGGCAGCTGGCAGGATGAACCCAATGAGTCTCCAAGAGCAGTTAGCACCAGACCCTTCAGAGAGAGGTGCAAAACGCCTGATGCAAACCTGGCTTTACCTGGTCCCCACACAAAGTCTTTCTTCCTAGTCCCTCAAGACTAGCTGATGCCTTAAGGCTTTAGCCTTTCCAAAAGTTTTGGAGATTTTCTTTGAAGATCTATTATAATTCTAGTTGTTCCAGTTATTTGTGCAATTATTTATTGCTTTCTGGGGCACAGCATGCTTTAAGCCTTAAATGTATCTGGTAGGCAGGGAGCTCCACAGAACCGCAGAAAGTAGAATACCTTCACTTTTAAATTAGCTCTTTTTCAATTTAATTGAATCCATCTTCCAGATAAATTACAAACTGCAGGACTATAATTTACCGGAATTAACACTGCAAATGATGCAGAGGACATGGATTTTCTAATCTTGGCCAGCACTGAGTTTTCCATGGCTTACTGCTCTCTTTTAGGGCATGCACAAAGCTGCCTGGATGCTGGAAAGAGCTGGATGAGTCAGGACACACAGCACCAGGGGCACCTTACTGAAACATAGCACCTCCCAACACCCAGGTAGCACCCTCAGCTAAACCAAATTAAACCCAGATTTAATAATTTCTGGAGCAAGCTCAGGCCTCTATGATTCTATGACTCTCCTCTTCCAAAGGGTATTGCATTGCTGCTCCCCTCTGTCATGGCACAAACGCAGAGATCCAAATGGAGCCAGGGATGGAGGAAAAGAGGAGGAACATCACCTCCATGTCAGCACTAATTCAGTGCCTTAACTGGCATCTTAGAAAAACCTGGTGCCCCAGTTTCTGCCCCAGCACGAAGCTGCCGGGGCAGACAGCAGCTCTGCACGTTGGCCAGGGCAGGCTCCACCAGCGAGGCTCCAGGAGGGCTCAGATTTGGGCTATATTTAGCACCGCTGGTGAAACAAAGCACCAGCCGCCTTCCCCAGCAGCTCGTCTGGGAATTAGCCATGCTGGTACCACCAGGTGCAGCCTGTACTTCCTCCTGCCCAGGCAAAGGGGATGGGAACCTGAGGCCTCCGTTACCTAATTATAAAGAAAGTGTTGGAAAACTGCCGGTTCATGTGCAGCAGGAGA